CAAGACTGGGCACGACGTCATGGTGGCTCTGGACGGCGACTCCACGGCCGCGCTGGTATGGCATGGGCCGAGCGAGGCGATGGCGGTAGATGAGGACTACATCGAGAGTGAGGTCTGGGCGCGCGGAGGGGGAGCCGAGAAAATGATGCCGAACGACCTCGTCGTCAAGGCGGGCGGCTCGGTCGCGCGACTCGAGCAGGGGCCACTCCGGGGCGGCCTTCTCACTCGTCATGGGTAAGTCTACAGATTCAATGGCGTGAAGGGCAGCTCCCACCGCCACCCGGAGACCGACCTGGAGGCTACTAGGGATGATGAGGGCGTCGGCCAGGTCCACCAGTGCGCGGCCTCCCCATGCGCTCTCCCCGAGGGCGACCGGGCGATGGTGCACGTCAGCTCGTCTTGCGTTGTAGGCCACAGCACGCTGGTCGACGCGTCCGACCTGGCCAAGCTCACCCCGGCAGAACGGGCGAGAACAGGAGGTCGAATGTGGGTTTGCCGAGGAGCGGGGCGAGCGTGCTATGAGGCGTTCGGCTGCTGTGCGAAGAGGCGCTGGAGGCATCCAAAGCCTGGGCAGAAGCCAGGCAAGGCCTCCCGCCGAGTTTGCTCGGCCTGCGCTTGCCGCTTCGCGGTCGGCGCACGCGTCGGCCCCCGCACCGAGAGGGGGACTCTTTCCCCACCCTTGGCATGCTACAGTGCACCAGGGGGGGGGGGGGCAGCGGCAGCGAGGACTCGCATGCCGCAGAGCTCGCGCCCCCCCCCGGCGGGGGGGGCGCCACAGGCCGCTTGAGAAGATGGCTCCTCCTCCTCCACCTCCATCGTCGTCGGCATCGAGGTGCGAGGAGGAGGAGGAGGAGGCGGCCTGAGGGCTGTGGGCCCAAGGGGCCCTGCCGCGCCCGATCCGCCGTTGTTTGGAGGCATATAGCAGGGGAGGAAACCTCACTATCGATCTCACAATACATCTCACTATAAATCGGACGAGTGATCTCACGATCGATTTCACGATCGATCTCACTGGATCGACTTCACTATCGGACTTACGATCGACCTTACGATCATCCTCACGATCGATTCCACTATTGATCTCACTATCGATCTCAGTATCCAGATCAATAATTTCCAAACTATCCACTGATTGGTTTTTTTCTCCAGCGTAATTATTTTCCCCTCCTCATCCACCGATTTCTGGACTTACCTCCTACCTCCCCCTGCTCGTCCTCCTCCCCCTCCTCCTCCTCTTCCTTCTCCTCCTCATCCTCCTCCTCCTCCTCGTCCTCCTCCTCCTCCTCTCCTCCTCCTCCTCCTCGTGCTCCTCCTCCAGCTCCTCCTCCGGTTCCTTCTCCATCCTCTCCCTCTTGGGGTATGACGTCTTACCAACCCTTTATTCTACTGCATACTCCTCCGCATCCCCGAACGAGGCAACTCGTCTGGGCATCGTTTCTGGATCGGCTGGTGTGGTTACACGAAACGCGCAGACCTCTTGTGCTGCTTCCAGAGCCTCTTGGGCCGTCTGGAGGGCACCTGGACGCCTGAGAGGCCGGCCCGTCGAGAGCGGCGAGACGAGTTCTTCGGAACCTGTGCTCTTGCACTGTTGCCGAAAGATTTGGACGTCCCGTTGGACACTTGGAAGCCTTTTGGGGGCCATCTTGGAGGCCACTCGGTGCTGTCTTGGGGCCTCGAGGGGGCCTCGCAAGCTGCCCTAAAGCGCGCTTGGCCCGTCTAGCGCACTAGGAAGCCGTCAAGCCGAGCCCTTCGAGATCGTGCGGGTCGTCTTGGGAGGCTCTTGGACGCTCTTGGGAACCGTCTTGGTGGCCTCTGGGGCTCCGCCTGGGGCTCTCTTATACAAGCCTGGGGCCCGCTGGCAACCTCAGAGGCGGCAACTAGATTGAGGAGAAAGAATCAGAATAATCATCATTGGCATGGTGACGATCGTCACCACCATCGTCACCGTTACCGTGCTCATCAGCAGCCGAGTAAGTACTCCACATCGTCACCAACACCGAACTCATCATCGACGTGGTCATCTGCATCGGCATCAGCCTCCACATCATCATCGTCCTGGACATCACCATATCATGCGTGCCAGCAGCATCATCATCATCCTCCTCCTCCTCATCATCGTCATCATCATCAGCAACACCACCATTATGTTCATCACCACAATCCATCCTCATCCTCATCCTCATCATCCTCCTGCTCATCATTATGAACATCATCAACATCAACATCATGTTGTTAATCATCGTCATCGTAATAACGTTATTCTTAATCGTCATCATATTCATCATGATCCGCATCAACATCATCATCTTCTTCACCAACATCAGCATCACCATTGCCATCTTGATCACAACCATCGCCATCCCAACCATCAGTACCGACAGTATACTCACCACTGCCTTCACCAGCATCATCGTCATCACCATCGTCATCACAATTATCATCGCCATCATCAGCAGCATCAGCAGCACCACCGTCCCATCATGATCATCAGCATCATCATCAGCAGCAGCAGCACCATCATCATCGGCATCAGCATCATCATCATCATCAACATCATCAGCATCAGCAGCATCATCACCATCAGCATCGTCATCATCAGCATCATCAGCATCACCATCATAATCAACAACAGCATCAGCATCAGCATCAGCATCATCATCATCAGTATCATCAGCAACATCAGCAGCATCAGCTTCAGCATCATCAACATCAGCATCAGCATCATTGTCAGCACCATCTTTACCACAATCAACTATCACCATCATCAACCTCCTCCTGCTCATCATCATCAGCATCATAAGCTTAACGAGCAGCACTACAATCATCATCACCATCACCATCATCACCAACATCATAATCCTCATCGTCATGATCAACAGCATCATCACCGTCATCATTATCATTACCATAATCAGCAGCAGCAGTAACAAGCACCATCATAAGCATCAGCATCAGCATGATGATGATGATGATCATCATCATGATCATCATCAGCACACTCATGATCGTCGTCATCATCATCAGCACAATCGCCAGCACCAACATAAACATCATTACCATCTCCATCATCATCCTCACCACCACCAGGCATCATCATCATCATCATCATCATCATCATCATCATCATCAGCAGCATCAGCATCATCATCATCATCATCATCATCATCATCATCATCATCATCATCATCATCATCATCATCATCATCATCATCATCATATTCACCACCATCATCATCACCACCACCACCATCATCATTCCCATTCCCATGTTGACCATCATCATTGCAAGCGTCGGAATGCCGTCGGTCAGATGCTCTTCGAGAGGCCTCCGGGAGCATCTTGAACGTGTGGGGGGGCTCGGACGGGCCGTCGGGAGGAAAGGATGTTGGTCTAATGGCGGCTCCTTGGAAGATACTGGCCTTCGGCTCAGACCGCCACCGTGTCTAGGTTGCGCATCAGAAGCTTCTGGGGTACCTGTTGGGGACTCTGGGCACGCTTCTCGGGCGCTTCCGGTAGCCAGTTTTGAAGCCTCCTGGAGCCTCTTGGGGACTGTTTGGGGGCCTCCTGGGGCCTTTTGTCTTGGGACCTCTTGGGGGCCTGGGCCGTCTCGGGGCCTCTTGGGCCGTCGTGCGCGCTGCGAAGACCAGAAAAAGGCAATATGCTGAAACGTACGCTTTGCGAGAGGATTGGGTCAACGTTGGCCATCCCAGCCCCACTCGGGCATCATCTTGGAATCCGCCGACCCCTTGTGGGCCTCCAGGCGTGTGAGATTATTCCACTCCCGTAATCCCTCCCCAGGGGCCCCAAACCGGGATTTTGACCCCCCCCTGGGGCCCCGGGTGGCCCCAGACCGAACTCACCGGGGGCGGTCTGGGCTCCCTGGGTTCGCTCCTGAGCTGCACGACAGCACTTGACGCCTCCCATTGAGCCGCTAAGACGGTCCACGAGAACCCCAAGTCGCCGAAAGATCGTTCCGAGACGCCCAAGATGAGCTCGAAACGGCCCAGGAGGCCGCCAAGCCACCCCACGAAGCGTCCAAGATGCCTCCCAAGAAGCCCCAAAGAAACCAAAATCTTGAAATCCCCTCCGGAAAACGTAAATTTTCAGCATATCCAACTTGTTAGCCTTCACGGCGTTGAAAACCGTCCACGAGGCCCCCACGAGGCCCCCAGGACCACCCCAAGACGGCCCACGAGGTTCCCAGGAGGCCCCACAAACAACACAAAAGAACTCCAACGTGGCCCAAGAGGCGCCCTAGACGGCCCAAGAGAGCTCCAAGACGGCGCCAAGAAGGGCCCAAAAGAGGGACCACGAACCGCAAATTCTAGCGCTCCGCCCAACGAAGCTCTCCAGAGGACCCAAGAGGCCCCCAAGCGGCCCCGGGAGGCCCCCATGAGGCACCCAAAGGGCCCCAAGGAGCCCCAAGATGCCCAAAAGAAACCCCCAAACGGCCCCCAAGACCCTTCAAACCTGCCTCGAAGAGGCCCGCGACAACGAGGCAGCAGGAACAATGTCGAGCGCCGTGTCATGATTCGGACAAGCCTCGTGGAATGCAGTCCTGGCGACGCAGTAGTGTATGAGGGGGTCGGCGGATGTAGCGTAAGCCTAATGAATCTTTGTGGGGCGTCGAAGGCTCTATTGCGCCGCTCTTGTCGCTGAATCGTGCTCCCCGGAACTGTTTGCGGCAGCTGCGGAGAGGCCCCGGAAAGGAGGGGGTGCTCAAGGGGGTGCAGCAATCACTGAGGTCCTTGCCGCGGGTAGGCGCCCCCAGTGCCCCGGCATATGATGGGTAAATGTGTGTAAATGTTATTAACTTGTATTCACATGTATATACACATCTGTATATATATATATATTATGAATATGTATCTGTTTTTATATATATGGTTGTCGAATGCTGTCTGGATGCGTGTCTCTGCATCCACATATATATACACATATATATATATATATGTGTGTGTGTGTGTGTGTGTATGCGCACACGCCTGAACGAACTCTCAAATCACCTATGAGGTCGAGGCGGGCCGCTCTTTTCTGCACGCTGGCTATGTCTCCGTGACCTGGGTGAGATCCACCTGGCCCATGAAGACGTGACCCCTGCCGAGCGCCTCCAGCGCGTGCGGGGGCACGACGGACGCCTCGGCGGGGACCAGCAGCTCCAGGCACGGGCACGCGAACCGCTCGTCGTCCGACCCACCCGCCCTGTCCATGCGCTCGAAGATCATGCCGCCGAGCATCCCGACGATGGGCTCCCGGACCGTGAAGGTCCAGCAATACCTGTACTCGTCCCGGGGCTCGAGCAGGTACTCCGCGCGGTCCGTGGTCGGGCTGGGCAGGTGGAAGACCTGGCCGCCGACAAACTGGATGGCGTAGAAGCAGTCCAGGCTCCGCACGGGGCCCGAGCACGAGGCGGGGTTGCGCACAGCCTGCGGCGAGATAGAAAGAGAGCAACGCTGAGCACGACCCCTGGGAGGACAAGCTTGCTCTAGGCGGCGTGCCCCGGTGGAAGTGTGAGGGGGCGGGCCTTCTCAGAGGGCTCGAAGGTTTCCAGGCTTGCTAAGAAGTGTTCGAGGCCTTCGCCGAAGGCGCAGGAAACTCCTCAATTCGCCGAGGGCCCCCTGGGAAACCCCGCCGCCTCCACCGCCACCCGTCGCTCGCCGCCGATGCCATCTGTGAGGCGCAGATGCAAAATGCACCGCGGAAGTACCACACAACGGTCTCAATGTGTATGTGAGGTTTCTCCTTCTCTTTCTCTTTCTCTCTCTCTCTCTCTATCATCCCTCCACCCGTCTATACATACATACATGCATACATACATACATACATACATACATACGTACATACATACATACATACATACATACATACATGCATGCATGCATGCATGCATGCATGCATGCATGCATACATACGTACACACAAACATACATACATACATACATACATACATACATACATACATACATACATACATACATACATACATACATACATACATACACACACATACATGCATGCATACATACATACATACATACATACATACATACATACATACATACACACACACACATACATACATACATACATACATACATACATACATACATGCATGCATGCATGCATGCATGCATACATACGTACCTACACGCATACATACATACACACATACATAACCATATCCATATACATCCATACATACATATATCCGTACACGCGTACATCATGACATACTTGCAGGTGTACAAGTTTTAATGCATACCTGCAAACATGCATGCATACATGCACATATGTATACACCGTAAAACCATACACATATTTATATATATGTTCACATACACACATATGTTTGGGCGGGCGGGGGCTTGGCCATGACCAAAACCTGCGAGATGCAGCCCCGTTCCCTTAATCGCGTGGCGAGGTCGTGCGGGTCGGCGGTGCCCACGTCGCCGGTGGTCGACGCGCCTCGCCACGCGGACGGCGGCGGCGCCCATCTCGAACGAGGAGCGGATCGCTGGGACGAGGGCTAGGATCTCCAGGGCGCGCCGTCCCCCGCCAATCCCGTCGAGGAGGGTGATGAGGGCCGTCTCCTCCTCGCAAGCTGGGTTGGCGGGCCGCCGGCGGCGGGCGGCGACCCGCGCGCCGCGCGGAGAAAACCCCGTGCCGTAAAACACCGCGCCCGCAATGTCGGAGGCGTCGGAGGCCGCAGCGAGGTGGTCGCCATTCAGCCTGAGGTCCGCCACGCACAGGGCAGCGAGCGCTGAGGAGAGGAACGAATCCTCCGCAACGCCCAGGCTGATGAGGGCTCCCGTCCGCGCGCCCTCGAGCCAGCGCCACGCGTGAGCAAAACTCGACGCGAGTGGGCGGCGGACGCAGTGGCCCCGCACCCAGCGGCCAAGCAGGATCTGCATGAATTCCTTGCTTGCACGACGCTTGCCCAACACCCAAAACGTGAGGCTGCCCATCTCCGTCAAATAGCCCGCGGGGGGGCGACGGATGCCCTCCACGCCGTCCGCGGGCTCGCCGAGGGTAGTGGCGCGCGTGGCCCAGTGGATATCCTTGCCTGGGGAGCCAGGGGAGCCGACCTGCTCGTAACAGGCACAGGCTTCGGTCAGCAGCGGCGGCGCGGCCCCCTTCAGCTCAGCCGCCTCGCTCTTGCTGACGACCTCGGCGATCTCCTGGCTGTCGACTCTGAGTGGTAGGCGACGGCGTCGGGTGATCTCGTCGCTGGACCGCGCGCGTCGCGGTTTCCCCCGAGCGTGGGCTCGGAGACCGATGCGGGCCGGGCCCCTGCGGCGCGGCTGCCTCGCCCTGGCGCGCCTGCGGACCTCGACCACGGAGGCGAGCGCGCCGCCTCCAGGGGCTGTGATTTGGGGCCGCTGGCCCGCTGATTTGAGGGCGGGGGGGGGGGGGGGGCGCGAGGGGTGGCCTCCGCCGAGGGCCAGCCCGAGCCGCGGCCCCGACCCCCAGCTGCTCGCCCGCGGACGTCATCCAGGCGCCGTCGGAACATGGCGGCCCGACGTGCCATGTGCTGCTCGCCCAGCGACACCAGACTCGGGCGCGCGTCGCCCGCGACCTCCAGCTCGCCCGCCACCTGCCAACTCACGCCCCCCAGGCGGAGCTCCAGAGGCCCAAGGCGCAGCATCAGGACGTCCGAGAGCTCCGCGAAGTCGCCTCCCTCGAGGCCGAGGGATGTCGCGAGCGCTTGCGGCTCCCTAACCACGGAGACTCGCAGACTGTGGACGGGAAGTGGTCGAAGATGATGGTGACCAGGTGCGACATCACAAGGGACGTGCTTCACCTCCGTCCGCCCCCTCTCGCAGGCCCATGACGCACGCTCTGTTTCCCATCGCCGCGTCGCACAACGCGCCAAGACGTGACTCCGCCAACGGCAAGGCGCTGTTGCCGCGAGAGGGGGCGTAGCGAGAAGTCGTCGAGCCCTTGACGTCATCCTCGTCACCCTCGTCATGCTCGCCATCATCACAGTCATCGTTGTCATCATAATCATCATCATAATCATCATCATCATCAGCATCATCACCAGCATCACCATCATCGTCGTAATCATCGCCATCATCATCACCATCATCATCATCAGCATCAGCATCAGCATCATCATCACCATCGCGTTCGGCCGAGGGGCTGCGGCGTCGTCAGCGGCCACGCGCGGCAGTCGCGCCACCTGGTCCAGAGCGCTCCTCGGCCAGGGCCTGCTGGCGGGGGGCCGCCGCGGCCGCGAGACGGCCAGCGGTACTCGCAGGGCCTGAGCCAGCGCCTCCACGGACAGGACCGTCGCGCCCCCCGCCGCCGAAGGCAGATGGCCGCGCCCAGGGCTCGACCACTGAGGCAGCTGAGCGGGCCCGCGGCCATGACAGGTGCAAGGGCCCTCGCCCGGGTGGCGGCCCTTCCGTGCAGCTCGCACCCCCGCCTGAGCAGAGGCGGGGGGGCTCGCGCGAGCCCGCGCCGCGGGGCGCGAAGTGGGCGCCCAGCGTCAGGGCCTTCGCAACCACCGACGACCCACGGCGCTGAGCCCCCGGGTAAGAGCCCAGCGGCGCCAGACAGGCCCACGCCCTCCACTTCGAACAGGGCCTGAGCCAGCGCCTCCACGGACAGGACCGTCGCGCCCCCCGCCGCCGAAGGCAGATGGCCGCGCCCAGGGCTCGACCACTGAGGCAGCTGAGCGGGCCCGCAGCCATGACAGGTGCAAGGGCCCTCGCCCGGGTGGCGGCCCTTCCGTGCAGCTCGCACCCCCGCCTGAGCAGAGGCGGGGGGGCTCGCGCGAGCCCGCGCCGCGGGGCGCGAAGTGGGCGCCCAGCGTCAGGGCCTTCGCAACCACCGACGACCCACGGCGCTGAGCCCCCGGGTAAGAGCCCAGCGGCGCCAGACAGGCCCACGCCCTCCACTTCGAACAAGGCCGCGCCATTCATGTTCCCGTCGAGGGGCGCGGGTCGGCACCTCGATGGGGAGCCCCTGCTTCCAGGCACACTCGACGAGACGCCCAACCTGCATTGAGGGCCCATTGACGAAGCCGTTGAGGGACCAGCCCGCGCGCCAGGCGGGGGCCCGAGCCCCACGGGCGGGGGGCCTGGCGCCGGGGGCGTCCCATTGGGCGGGGCGGCAGCTGCGCCACCTCCAGCGCCCAACGCCGCGACCAGCGCTGCTCCAAGGCCGCCAGCGGCCCGAGCAGGGACGCCCCCAACACCAGCGAGCGGCGGCGGGGCTCTACCCTGCCCTGCGGGCGGCGGCAGCCCAGGCTGCACGGGGGCGCCGCCCCCGCCCGCGGCCGCCGGCGCGGGGGCCCCCGCGGGCAGCACTGGGGCCCCGGCACCGCGAGGAGCACCACGGCCAAGCCCGCAACCTGGGGCTGCACGGCCGCGCCCAACTCCCCGACCATGCAACCAGGGCGAGGCCGCTGCGGCCGCCGCCGCGAAGGGCTCCGCAAGCGCCCCGACCCGCGGCCTCGGCTTTAGCCTTAGCGTTCGCCTTGGCCTTCGGGGCCATGCTCACCGTCGGCGAGCCCCGCCAGCGCGACCACGAGCGCCACCAACTCGCGCGCGCGGCCCGCCACGGCGGCCCGCTCGCCCGGGGTGAGCCGCGCCCCCTGCGCGTGCTGGGTCGCGAGCGTCAGCAGATAGCAGAGCTCGCAGACCTCAGCGAGCCTGCCCATCGGTCGCGAGGGCGAAGCTCTCGTGGGGCCCCAGGAAGCCCAGGCGCCAGCTGCAGCGGCGCCAGACAGGGACCCGACGGGCGGCCCCGGGCCCGTCACGCGGGGGCCCGCCCCCCGCGGTCGCCGTGGGCGCACCGCCCAGCTGGCCCGCGGCCGCCTGCGCCGCCGAGGGGTCGGCGCGCCACCCCGCGCCCGCCGGGCCGCCCTCCCGCGAGCTCGCAGAGGGGGGGCCGCAGCGCCCGCGGCCGCCTCGCCCGCCGCGGGGGCGCCCGGCGGCGGGGGCGCAGGCCGCCAGCCTGCGGCCGGCGGCGGCGGAGGCCACTCCCCCCGATGGCCCGCGAGAGGGTGGCCAGGCATACCTTCCTGGAGGGCCCGAACAGCCTCGAGACCGAAACAGCTGCCATGCTTCCGAGAAAGGCCGACGATGATCGACCCGCAACGCTCCTTGCCAAAACATCTACCGTAAACGTATATATATATATATATATTATGTGTATATATATATATATAGATGTACACGCCACTGCGCTTTAGAACCCCCTTCTCTGCATTCCCTGGTGGTGGTGGCTGTGACCCAAGCCTTCGACTTCTTGACACTCTTACGACGGTGCGTTCGGCGAGCCTCAACGGCCCGCAAGCGGCCCCCAGAGGCCGAAACCGCTGGGAAGATGCTCGTCGTGTCTGCCGCGACGCTGGAGGCGTGGGAATGGTCTTTCCTCCAGGCAACCGCGCGGAAGAAGTAGGTGAGCTCTTGCTCGTCCGTGACCTCGGGATGGAATGAGCAAAGGGGTGAATCGAAAAGGGGTGGGGGGTGAACACCGACCCCTTGCCGTCGCTCGGACGTCCATTTCCCGTGCATTTGTTGGTTTCGTTCGTGTGTTCTTTGCTCGATGGTCCAGGTTGGTCCTCGATGGTCCTCGCCGAGAAAAAATGCACACGTCTGAGCGATGCCGAGACCTGAGACTGAGAATGACGCGCTCCCGACCGGCATCCGACCGCCAGCACTCAGGCTCCGTCCTCGGCGCGCCCGGGCAGGCGCGCCGCAGCCGGCGACACGATGGACGATGCCTGGCCGACGCTCCCGCGAGCCCCTCCGAGCCCATCCACCGCCCACTCGGCCCCCGACCTGTGCCGCACCCTTCGGCGGTGGACAAACCTCCCCTCCTTTGGCAAGCCTCCCCTTCGTGAAACCGGCCTGGGGCCGAAACCGACGGACCTGGACCCGCAAGAATGACGGCCGCGACGCCCTCCCGCGAACCGAGAAGGGCCAGTCCACTCATCGGCGCGTCGGCGTGGGATGCCTCTCGACCTCCGGACCTTTCTGGAGGGGTGAGGGGCAACGATAGGGGGGGACTGGGGCAACGATTGGGGATCGATGCATCCCCCACTATGCCCAGTCCCCCCCTATCGTTGCCCCTGAATCGGCAATGGACAAACCTCCCTTGAATAAACCTCCCCTTAGTGAAAACGGCCTGGGGCCAAAACCGACGGACCTGGACACGCAAGAATGCTGGCCGCGACGCCCTCCCACGAACCGAGCACGGCCAGTTCACTAATCGGCGCGTCAGCGTGGGATGCCTCTCGACCTCCGGACCTTTCTGGAGGGGTGAGGGGTAACGATAGGGGGGACTGGGGCAACGATTGGGGATCGATGCATCCCCCCCTATGCCCAGTCCCCCCCTATCTAGGGGAACGAAGAATGACATAAACATAAAAACTCAGAGGTCCTCGCGGAGTCCCCGGATCGGCGCTGGACCCCCCTCCCCAGCGCGCGGAACGCGCCAGGGACGGCGCCGCAGGCTCCGCCAGGGGGGTCCAGCGCGGATCCGAGAAATCCGCGCGGACCTCCGAGTTCGTATGTTTATGTCATTGTTCGTTCCCCCCCTATCGTTGCCCCTGAAGGGGGGGGGCCGCCTCTGCCTTAGTGAAAACGGCCTGGGACCGAAACCGACGGACCTGGACCCGCAAACATGATGGCCGCGACCCTCTCTCGCGAACCGAAAACGGCTAATTCCTTAATCGACGCGTCAGGGCAGGAGGTCTATCCACCCCCGACTGAAGGGTAAAACAGGGCTAGGATCGGGATAAATCGCTCCAGAGCGTTCCGGAGCGCTCTCAGAGCGTTCCGGAACGCCCTGGAGCGGCCGCGGCGCCCAATACATCCTCCAAACCCGCCGATTCTCAGAGATTTCGAGTTATCCCGATCTGATTTTGTCCCGATCTCCGCGTCGTTTGAAAAGGGGGGGGGGGGGGGGCCCCCGCGCCTCTGCCCCACCCCGTGGCCCCGCCGCCATCGCAGGCAGGCCGGTGCAGGCCGCGGCCTCCGGCCGCCCGTCGCCGCTCGGCCGCCCGAGCCGCGGTGCCGAGCTCCACGTGCCCTCCGCCGACGTCCTCGCCCAGGCCATAGGGGGTCATCCGAGGCTGGCCGAGCTCGATCCAAGAGGCCCGTCCAAGGCTGAGCCGAGGCTGCCCGAGGCCACCCGAGGCCGCCTGGAGGCCACCCCGGGCGATCGTGAGGGCCGGGGGATATCGAAACCGAGGGGCCTCCCACATGGGGTCACCGGCGGGGAGACGCAATACTCCAATCTGGGGACTCGGACTAGCCTGAGTGGGCCGTCAGGAACATGAAAAGACCCAATGCGAAATCTGCCGCGAACTCACGCTGCAAGCATCTCACGGCAACCGAACCCTCAACATTCCTCTTGGGACCGTCAAGAGACAACAGCAAGCCTCCGACTTGGGCAGGGACCGACCGTCCCGGCATTCCTACAGGCCTCCTATAGGCCTACCACGACATGTTCTTAGAACCCAGAAATGTTCTACGAATGACACCCAATGTTCTTAGAACACAAACCCGATGTGTTGAAACAGAACAAGATCGGCCAGAAATGTCCTATCGGCGGTTGACAAACCTCCTTTTAGTAAACCTCCCTTGAGTGAAAACGGCCTGTGACCGAAACCGACGGACCTGGACCCGCAAAAACAACGGCCGCGACGCCCTCTCGCGAACCGAAACGTCCAATTCACTAATCGACGTGTCAGGGTAGGAGGTCTATCAAACTCCGATTCTAAGAACATTCCGGGGAAATCGACCGACTCCGCCTGCATCGCGCAGCCCTCCGTGGTCGCAGCGTTCCGACGGCGCCGACCGTCCGACGCCGATCCACCCTTTTGGCGGCCTGGAGCGCCGCCCGCGCGGGGCACACCGCCGCGCCCACACGCCACGTTAACCTGACCTCCCAGCAAGGTCGCGCTGCGTCGACGCGGCGGCAACTCCCGCGCGGGCGGCGACAGTGGAACGCTGGAGGCGGACCCGTACCTACAGGGCAGCTTTTCATACATAGGATTTAAGACATATCAGATTTTGATACATGATTAATTTATGAATGAACTTATGCATGAACTCATCGTTGTTTTCCACATCCCTGCATTTTGAATGCATGATCCGCACGCGGAGCATGTATTAAAAACGGCACTGTACCGATGACAAGCGATCTGCGCTACAGTCAACCAGTGTAGTAAGGATGCGCGATAAGGATGCAAGGGCCTTGGACGCCCATTTCGAAGCTTTTCGAGCGGGGCGCGGCAATCGAAAACGGCGAAGGATTGACCGAGGAGGCGAGGATGCAAGGGTACCCTTGGGAAGGTTGCCCATCCTTACTATCATGGTTGACTGTATCGGAAAGCCGCGATCGCTCATGCTTGAACCCTGCACGTGGTGTCACAAATCCACGCGCAAGTCGTCGCAGCACGAGTCCGCCGTCCTTCGGGTGCGCCGCAGGGGGGGGCTGGAAAGTCGGGGGGATGGGGCCAGTCTGCGCCCGATGAGGAGGGGGAGGAGGGAAGGGGTGGAAAGATGATCGGCTACACGCAAGAGTGACCCTGGGTAAGAGTGACCTTTGGTGCGCGGCTTTCTGGAGGCCGCGGGAGACCAAACCTGGGCGCGCAAGCCGCTGCTGCCGCTTCGTTTCAAGCCATCTGAGTGCCCATCTGTGCCGGCACCAGAGGACACTCCGGCGAAAGGTCACTCTTACGTCTAATCGAGATGAAGGAGGGACCGTTAAGTCTGGGAGATGTCACGGCCCCGGCCCTCACAGCCACACGCGCCCTCAGAACCCCGACGCCGCGACTTCTGTCACAGTGTCGCCCCCTGGAGGTCCGGGCCACGTCCCCGGGGACCGGTGTCTCACCCTGCATCGTTTTGTTGACAATCCCGAGGCCTGATATACTGGGACCCTTGGTGGGCCTGTTTTCCACCACCACCACCGTAAGTTGGAGGGGGAGAGGGTCCTCCTCCTCCTCCTCCTCGTCCTCCTCCTCGTCCTCCACCTCGTCCTCCACCTCCTTCCCCCCTCCAACTTATGGTGGTGGTGGTGGAAAACAAGCCCATCAACCCTGGAGGCCGATCATAAAAAAACACCTCACGTGGCGAATTCTTCGCAGTGCGAAGGGGTCTGGGCCTCCAGCACAGACCTCCGTCTTGAAATTCTTCGTCCCGGCGCTTTGTCTCAGCAGTTCCCCCACGCTCAGGTTGGGCATGCCCCCCTACGGGCGGAATTTGGACGAAAAATCAAACATAATAGAAAAATTGACCACACTGATCAAAGATGATAGACCAAATCGTCCCTGGACTGTTTTCTGGCTATTTTCGGATATTCCTCCTGTAGGGAGGGATATGCCCGACTTACCCCCGAGGGCTACCCGACCTCTGCCTCGTCGCGGCCCAGGCCGGGCTCCACGCGGTGGACGTCCCAGGCGACCCAGAGGCCAGCGCCCTCCCCCTCGCGGAAAACGGGGGACTCCTGGCGGGCCAGTTGCCGGCGGCGGTGGTATCGCGAGGTCACCGACAACGCGCGGGAAGCGAAGGTCAGCGCCGCAGGACGAAGTCAGCGCCAGCGACGACGCCAGCGACGACTACGAGAACGACGACGTCAACGACGACGACGACGACGACGACGACGACGGTGTCGACGGGAGGCGCCGAACGAGGGCCAGCGAGGTCGCCTCGCGAACGATGACGACGACGACGACGACGACGACGACGACGACGACGACGACGACGACGACGGCAGCGGCGGCGGCGGCGACGTCGGCGGCGACATCAGCGATGCCGACGGCGTGGGCGACGCCGGCGACGAGGGGCGGCGAGGGCCGCCAGCGCAGGGCGCTCGCCGCGCGCTTCGTCCTGGGGCCCCGTGGCCTGCTCAGGCCGCCCCGTCTGCGTGGGGTTCAGTCGGGCATGTCCCTCTACAGGAGGAATATTTAAGGTGGCGATATTTAAGTTGTAGGAAACTATACATCATCGTTAAGAATAGTCAGGTGGCGATTCGATTTTTAATTATTCTTGATCACTTTGAGGCTTCTTTCTGTTAGTTTAACGTTTTGTCCAAAATCCGCCTGTAGGGGGACATGCCCGACCAAAGCGTGGGAGCGCCGGGAGGAGGATTCCAAGACGGGGGTGTGGGCTGGGGGTGCCCAGACCCCCTCGCGTTGCGTCAGAGCCGCAAGGGGAGGCCTTTCTCTGCGTTCGCCCTCCAGGGTCCCTTGCCGGGCCTCGGGAGCGTCAAAAAAGGACTCGGGACGGAAATCAGGCCCCGGGGAAAGGGTCTGGACCTGTGGAGCCCACGCACCGAAACAAGTGGCGCAGCCGGCCCAGAAATACTTTCGAGCACCCAGACAAGCATCGCAACGGAATCTACGCGACACGCTGGCGAAATGTCGACCGGGTATCGCGTCCCAGGGCCGGACACGTGAAAACCCTCCAGTTTTGGAAATTATTCCTCCTGGCGTTCGAAATTCTGGCTATCAAGGCTAAAGTCGGTTGGAACATCATGAATCACGGATAGATCCGGGGGAGGATAAATCGAGAATCTCTGAGATCTGGCAGCTCTGAAGGATGTATCGGGCGCCGCGGCCTTCGCAGAGCGTTCCAGAACGCTCTGGAACGGACGTCCTCGCCCTAGCCCCGTCCGAAATGATTCCACCCCCAGTAAGATGCAGCTCTCCCTCGCGAGGCGTCGGAACTAAGGATCCGGCGCTGGCTACCCGAGGCAGTGCCTGCCCGGCGCCTGCAAGCATATCTCCCTGCGTGAATTTTTCAGGTACGCCTCCAGCATGCTATTTTCTGCTGTTGCGCCGTCAGGGCGCGGCTCTTGCCTGCCTGCCTGCCCTATCCTTGTCCAGGGTCTTCTGTCGCACACCGCGGATAAAGATGTGGCGAAAAAGCCGCTCCACCGACACTCCGGCCGACGTCTGGCAGCGCGAGACCGCTTCGCCCAAGGGGGAAGGCATTGGCGCGTGCGTCGCAACCAGCTGACGGACAACTGGGGCCAATGGATTCTCCAGCCTGGATTCCAGACGGTTGCGGCACAACCAACACGAACGACGAATAAAGGCGCACACGCTGAGTCGACGGTGGGAGATCAGCCCGCGCGGCAACGCCTTCAAGGGGAAAGCCACCGCGATGGCGATCTCCCAAACTGCCCGAACTCCCCCCCCATGGGACCCACAAAGGTGTCCCCCTTGGAGGCGTGCTTCCGACCTGAACATATAATACATCCATCTTGTAGTGTATCGTTTGCCGAGCGGTATGGCCATAAAGCGCTCGCCATGGAGCATATGCTACTAGATTCCTCGACGCGCGCGTCGCCCCTTCGGGGGCGATGCACACCTGGTACTAGTATGTGTGGGTGGCGCCGACACCAGCGGATCGGCCCCAAACGGCTTGGGGATGAGTTTTCGGACGCAAGGGCCCTGAATCACTCATCCCCAAGCTATAACTCGCCATCGCGGGGACGCCCATTTTGAGCAGGGACCGACCGTCCCGACATTCCTATAGTCATACCACGAAATGTTCGTAGAACCCAGAGATGTTCTAAGAACAAAAATTATGTTCTTAGAACATTAGCCCGATGTGTTAAAACAAGACGGTCCCAGCCAGAAATGTTCTAGGAACATTTCGTGGAAATCACAAAAGGTTCTTAGAACATTGCTTGGTGGGGCTATAGGCGAGCCAGGACGCTTCGCCACTGCTTGACCACTCCCTGCGCAGTTGTCGGTCTCGCGCGTGTTTTTGTTTAGGCCCGATGGCAGAGGATTCTCTTGCAGTCGAACCCTCTGCTGAGGACGGGCGATGAGCACGCAAGGGCCTTCGGGACGCCGCAGCCGACACTTCTTGGGCGGCAGGCCGCCAACACCCTGCAGGGCTGGCCAGTGAGAACACCGCGAAGGACGGGCCGCAGAGGCAGGGACGCAAAGGGTGCCCTGAGGACACCCGTGCGTCCCCACTGTGGATTTTGACTGCAGGTCGTCACCGAGGAAACATTAACCAGCCTCGAACGTATCCCTAATTGTCCCTAAGATCCACAAGCGAAAAGTCGACGACAATCTCAGGGATGCGCCCTCAGAAGCGGAGGGAATCCCTGAGATCGGCATCGAGACGAGGCGATGCCAATCATGGGGACAGGGATATGTTCCAGGCTGGTGAAACATGCAGACGTCCGAGCGATACCGAGCAAGCCATAAATCGCACCAGCCCCCAAAGGGACCCTGCACGCCCCGTGCGCCGTGAGACACGCCGGGCACCGACGCGCCCCCACGGCCCTCCCCCCCTGGCGGGGGCAGACCAGGGTAGAATCGGGAGCGGCCAAGCACAGGGGTGTCCAAGAGGAGGGGGTGCAAATCATGACCGGCGGCATGTGCGCGGCCCAGCGGGGGCCCAGGGACGTATGAAACAAGAAGGGGCGCCATGAAATCTGGGGCCCACGCCCCAGATTTCCACCCCCCCCTAGTCATCACCCCCCTCTTTTCCGCCCCCGGTAGAACAATTGTGCAGATGACCACCCATCGGTCGGCAGAAGCAGGTAGGACCATGAAGCAGGAAGGCGTTGCAAGTAGACTGGGCTTCCGCCCGCCTCCTGAAGACGACGGAAAAGGTGAAGCCACTCGATCCTTGGAGCAGGAAGGCGCCTGGAGTAGATTGGGATCGTTGGCTCCAAGAGTACCTACCTTCAACGACCGATGGGTCTCCCCGATCAGATCGCTCCACGCCACCCGCCATTCCCACATTCGCGCCCGGGCGCAGCCGCTTCTGCTCTCCACGCGCCCCAGCAGAACGACGAGCCCCCACCCACAGCAATCGAAGAAGCAGTCCGGCGACTTGCCACTTCCCCCGAAGAGGTGCGCCGCCGCGGGCGCACGCGCGCCTCAACGAACACGGCGCGAAGCCGCCCAGCTTCTTCCCCTCGATACTGGTCGGGATGATTGTTTCGCTGCGGACTGTCTGCCCGCACCCTTGCCGCGCGAGATGAACATCGTTTAACCGATCCTTTTTCCCACTGGCGTGGCCTGGGCCCCACTGGCCGATTTACTCCCCTGGATGGGGACATGGGCTCTCTCATAGGGTCTCGGGGGGCCTATGCCCAACTGCGTTGGTGAGATGGTGCGGCTGAGAGACCATGGCCCGGGAACCCTCGGAGCCCGATGGGCCCATCGCCGACGCGCGCGCTTCCCGCGCGCGGAGCGCCTGGCGTGCGCGCGCGCGGAGTTGCATGCCAGATCACGCGTTAAGCGTTGGGCTTCCGCTTCGACCTCCCCTGAGATCCTGCCGTTGCAATTTTTTCAAGACTGGCGTTCTCGCCCTCATTTCGGGCCCCAAAACCCTCACAGATCGATCCGGCTCGAAAAATGACGCAGAAAGATGGGGTCCGGGGCTCCGGTCGTGAATTGCTGCGATGTTGCAATGTTTTCACAACGTCGGATCTCAAGCTCTCCCGCGCCCCCTACCTCCCGCTGGCGCGGCCCGACCGACCCCTGGCAAACCATCCCCTTGCGTGACGTCCCCCCTCGCCTCCCGAGTCCCCCTCTGGCCGCGCCGATGCGTCCTGGGGCGAGGCGAAGGGGGCACGTCAAAGGTAGGGCATGTCCTCCTACAGGCGGATCTTCGATGAACGATTGAAAATAGTAAAACAAACATTCAAGAATGACCAGAAATGATCGAAAAATCGTCCCCAGATTATTTTTGTAGCACCATTTCTGAACTTTCCTGCTGCAGAAGGACACGCACGAGTTCACCGCATGCAGAGCGGGGCAGCTCCGTTTTGGACGCCCGAAATGGGTACGGAAAGAATGGGCACAATGCCCAACAGCAACTGTTGTCCCGAGCCAACAGCGGCCGCTGCTGGGCAGGCGGCCTTCTGTCTCGAATAGACACAGGCCGCGGCGGCGTGGACAGCGAGTCCTGTTCAAAATGAACAGGAACTGCTGTTGGGGATTCTTAGGGGAACACAAAGTGACATAAGCATAAAAACTCAGAGGTCCGCGCGGATTTCTCGGATCGGCGCTGGACCCCCCTCCCTGGCGCGCGGAGCGCGCCAGGGGCGGCGCCGGAGGCGCCGCCGGGGGGCTCCAGCGCCGATCCGAGAAATCCGCGCGGACCTCCGAGTTTTTATGCTTATGCCACTTTTTGGTCCCCTAAGAATGCCCACTCTTTCCGTGCCCATGTCGGGCGTCCAGCTTCGCGGCGCAGGCCGCGGCACGAAGGCCGCCGCACGCCGCAGCGCGGGCGTGCGAGGGGGCCCCGGGGCCCGCCTCTCCACGGGCGGAGCCAGGGCGCTCCCCGGGCCTCGGTGTTGCGGCGGCATTGAAGGGGCCCCAGGACACACAAACAAATACACACAAATAAGAAGATTCCCCATCTTTTCTCAGATTTCCTGGGTTTTTGTCTCCGCCCCCACTCCCCATATGTTTTATATTTTCTGTGGAATCGACGATTTTTATTATGTCTGTGTGTTTCTTTCCCTCCTGAGGAATGGAGGGCGGAGGCCGTCCATGGGAGCCGGCCGTCGGGCCGGGCCGCGAGGCACCCGGTGGTCCGCGACGGCGCGCCCCCGCCGGGCGGCCCCAGTGTGAAGGCACGCCGGGTGCCCTCCCCGCCGTCGCCCTTACGCTCGTCCTCCCCTGCCTCGCGCTCCGCCTCCTCGTCCTGCTCCTGGTCCGCCGCCTCCTCCTCCTCCTCCTCCTCCTCCTCCTCCTCCTCCTCCTCCTCCTCCTCCTCCTCCTCCTCCTCACTGGTGTTTGTCCTCGTCGCGCCCAGCGCGCAGCGCGTCCCAGCCGCTCCCCGAGAGCAAAACAGCCACTTCTTCCCATTCTACCCACTACCTCTCTTTTTCCGACTCCTTCCTCTCCTCCTGCTCTTCATGTTCTCCTCGCCCATCCTCATCCTTCTGTCCCCTCTCCTTTCCTTCTCATCTCCAATCCTCATGCTCCTTCTCCCCATTTGCCTAAGCTCGATCTAGCCAAACCAATCCAGGCAAGACTCTCACCATGGCTCCTCGTGCTTCAACAAATCCATCGCCTCCTCGATCCGCGGCTTGACCAACCGGGCGACGTCGTGCTTCCTGCCAGGACCAAAGCGAAAGAAAGATGGCTCGGTGAAACCGCTACCGAGCCACCAGAAAGTGCAGAGCAGCAGACCACAAACAGCGCTCTGGAATGCGATGCAGCTCATGTACAGTTCCACAGAGAGCGAGCAGTACTGCACAGAACATCTCTGCAAGCCCTGTATGACGCAAGAGCACGCGGGAGACCCCCCATGGGGCTGTGCGGGAGACCGTGCGGGAGACAATGGCGGAGACCGCGCGGGAGAGCACACGGGGGACCATACAAGAGACCACGGGGAGGCCATGCGGGAGACCCTGCGGGCGACCATACCATGGGGGGGAGACCACGTGCGAGACCGCGCGGAAGACCACGCGGGAGACCGCGCGGGAGACCGTAAGCGAGACGATACGGGAGACCGCGCATCGAAGACCGAGAAACAGACCATACGAGAGACCCTGCGGAAGACCGTGCGAGAGACCCCTGCGGGAGACCATAGGGGGAGGCCATGCGGGAGATCACGTGGAGTACCGCACGGGAGACCAAACGGGAAACCGCGCGGGAGACCACGCGCGAAGAGACACGGGACGCTGTTCCAGAAGACCGTGCGGACATGTCCGGGAGACTGCCAGGGAAGGAAGCGCGGGAGAGCACGCAAGGGGGACGACGAGATGGGAGACCACACGAGAGACCATGCGGGAGAGCACGCGGGAGACCATGCGGAGAACCATGCGGGACACCCTGCGGCGGGAGACCGTGCGGGAGATCACGGGCTACCGATCTCTGACCTGGGGAAGCAGCCCCCCCCCGCACAACGAGAAGAGGGAGTCAGACGAGCTGCCGAGAACAGTGAAAGAGCGTGTGCCGCCCACATCACGCCGATGCCTCCCCCTCCGCCCCACCCCTTCCCCTCCTCTCGGGGGCGCGCAAACATGGATTGGCAATCCATGGAGATGGCGCGCGGTCGCAAACTCCATGGATCGGGGGAGGTGGCCTCCCCACCATGTGGCCAGTGCCGCCTCGTCCGGCGGAGGGAATCCGCGATTTCCCATTTAAAAGGGGCCCCGTCGCTGATCCACGCCCCCCTCCCTGATCCATGTTCGCGATCGCCTAAAACATGTCCCGCCCACGTCACGCCGATGCCCGCCCCCTCCGCCTCACCTTGGCGGCGCGCAAAAGGGGGTAGGGGGAGGGGGGAAGGCTTCTTAGAAGCACCCTGCTTCTCAGAAGGCCTCCCTCGGCCTTACGTCTGTAGAGAAGGCCCGCGCCTCCTAAGATGCAGGGGTGCTTCTAAGAAGCCCTCCCCCCTCCCCCTACCCCCCCTCTGCGCGTTGCCGATCACCCCTGTCCCCCCCTCTCTAGGGAGCCCACAAAGGACGTACGCGCCCAGCTATGTACATGAACACGGCCCCTCGATCCGCGAAACCGGCCGCGTTGTACGAACATTTGCGCAGTGCGTTCTCTCCAAAGCAGCGTGGATTCATGTACGTGTACGTCCTTTTGTCGCTCCTGACTCCAGGGGGGCGTAAGACCCGGGCACAGGGGACTGGGAAATCCCCGACGAGGTCGTCAAAAAAATGACGAGGCCGAGTCTGCATTTTGACGAGGCCTCCCGCTGCAGACATCCCACGAAACTCCTCCTCGTCAAAATCCGAGGCGCGGTCGTCAAAAAACGATGGTGAACCCGAGTCCTGGCAAACCCGGGTCTTACGCTCCCCCGATCTCTGCCGCAGGACCGACGAGGGCAGAGCCCACCCGGTGGCGAGCGCAGCGAGCGCGGAGCCGCGGCAGAACGCACGAGGGCGGCAGAGCGGCGGCGCGGCGCGGCGGCACCGGGCGCGGCAAGACGGCCCGGCGGGCGGGTCGGGGGGCCAGGGACGGGCCCCTCGGCCTCCCCATCCCGCCTCCTCCTCCCCATCCCTCCCCATCCCTCCCCATCCTCCTCCTCCTCCTCCTCCTTCTCCTCCTCATTCTGCTCTTCCTCCTCCCCCTCCTCCTCCTCCTCCTCCTCCTCCTCCTCCTCCTCATCCTCCTCCTCCTCCCTCCCCCTCCTCCGCCTCCTCCTCCTCCACCCGCCCCCTCTGCTGAAGAGCGGCGGGCCCTCACACCGTGCCCGCACGAGGGGCAGCTGCGGAGCGGCGCGGGGCACGCGGAGCGTGTTCTGGTGCCACGCGCGGTGGCCTGTGCGCGAGTCGCTTTTCCACTGCGGCGGGACGCAGAGTCCACCAGTATAGTGAGGATGCGCGAGAAGGAGGCAGGGGCCTTGGACGCCCATTTCGAAGCTTTTTTCGAGCGGGGCGCGGCACGCGGAACCGTTTGGTACCACGCGCTGTCGCCTGTGCGCGAGTCGCTTCCACTGCGGCGGGACGTAGAGTCAACCAGTATAGTAAGGATGCGCGCTAAGGAGTCGGGGATCTTCTGACCCCGGTCAATCCAGACCCGGGTCAGCGTGAAATCAAAAACTGCAATGCAGGAAAAAAAACTGCAACGCAGATCTTCGCAAACCCAGGTCAGCCAATATGCGCGGCCGCCTCGCGGCCACGAACGGCTCGCTGACCCGGGCCAGCCAGAGGGGGTCTTCGCAGGATCCTGCAGGATCTGGTGCCCTGGCTGACCTCTGTTTGCATTGACCCCCGTCTCAAGGCTCCCGAAGGAGGCAAGGATGCAAGGGAACCGTTGGGAAGGTTGCCCATCCTTACCACGCGGGTTGACTGCAGCTTTCTCTGGAGTCCCACCTGCCCTCGGGGCAGAAACATGATAACGAATCGTTGTTTCGGCCACAGCCCCTCCTTCCCGTGCTTCGGGAGGGGTTCATGCCTGTTCCTTTTTGATATACGCCCCCGCCCCCACCCGACCAGTCGCAAATCCGGGCCAATGAGGGATCGCCCCACCGATTTCTGCACAAGCCGAAGCAACATGCACCTTGCACCAACATCTGGAGCGTGCGCGGACGCCCCACGATCACTCTGCACTGCTTCTTTGACGAGGACGGCGAAGGGGGCCCTCCTGTTGTCCGCCCTGTGCAGGCCTGCGGTCAAACCACAATGCATACGCCACCCATCGGTCGGGAGAGGTAGGTGGACACATGAAGTAGGAAGGCTTGGATAGTAGATTGGGTATCGTCCCCCCCTGAGGAGGACGGACCTGGTGAAGCCACTCGGTCATCGAAGTAGGAAGGCGCTTAGAGAAGATTGGGTATCGTCCCCCCTGAGGAGGACGGAACTGGTGAAGCCACTCGATCATTGAAGTAGGAAGGCGCTTGGATTAGATTGGAATCTGGAAACCTCGGGGGCGTCCAAGAGGGGGGCGTTCAAGAGGGAGGGTGGGGGGGGAAATAAGGGCTGGCGGCACGTGCGCGGCCCATTGGGAGGGGGTGCCAGGGACGCATTGAGGTAAGAAGACGCGCCATGACACCTGGGGAGATCTCCTGGCCCCCGCCACGATGTCCACCACCCCACTCAGTCCTCGCCACCCTCTTCTCGCCATCGCTCGGACGTCCATTCCTCGTGTATTTTTCGACTTCGTGCGTTTTTTTTTCGCCAGATGATCAGGGATGGTCCTCGATGGCCGTCGCCGAGAAAAAAATGCACACGTCCGAGCGATGCCAAGTCTTGGCCGCCCCCGATCATCCGAGCTCCTCCTCCTCCCACTCCTCCTCCTCCTCCTCCTCCTCCTCCTCCTCCTCCCTCCTCCTCCTCCCTCCTTTTCCTCCTCCTCCTCCTCCTCCTCCTCCTCCTCCTCCTCCTCCTCCCTCCTCCTCCTCCTCCTCCTCCTCCTCCTCCTCCTCCTCCTCCTCCCACTCCTTTTCCTCCTCCTCTTCCTCCTCTAAACACACCTCTTGGCCGCCCCCGAGCAGCCAGGCATACCTGCTTTCAACGGCCGACGGGGAAACACGCTGCGGCAAGACCCGGGACCCTGGGCGCGCGGGCGCCCCGTGAGCACACGCTTCTCACTGGCTGTGCTTCTGAGAGGCACGGCGGCGGGGATCTCTCGGAAGGCCCGCCCTGCGCAGAAAAACCAACGTCTCTGGTGGGCGTTTTTTTGTTGTTGTTTGATTCGGCGTCTCGACATTGGGCAGAATCGGCGGTGGACAAACCTCCCTTTAGTCGGTGGAGAAAGCTCCCTTTCGTAAACCTCCCCTGTAACGAAAACGGCATGGGGCCGAAAAAACGACGGACCCGGACCCGCAAAAAAGACGGCCGCGACGCCCTCTCGCGAACCGCACACGGCCAATTCGCCAATCGACGTGTCAGGGTAGGAGGTCTGTCCACCCCCGAATCTCGGAATGTCCGCTCTGCGCAAGAACCAACGTCCCTGGTGAGCGTTTTTTTGATTCGGCTTCTTGACATTGGGGGGGGCAGGGGGGGTCTGGCTCCGGACTGCTGCTTGATGCGTCTGTTGGCAACAGTGCACCCCATGGGGGAGACTCCACCTGCTCGAAACAGGCACCAAAAGCAGCCAAGATCTACTCCACGGGGGGCGGGGAAGGGGGGTTTGGGGGTCCGCGCCGATCGGCCAAACAATGAATAAGAAAACGATCACCTGTTAACACAGAATGCAAAGCACACTGTGTGGCAAAAGCTTGTTTACACGCGGGTCTTGCAATGGTTTGTGATCACTTTGCAGTGGCTTTTAATAGGGGCGGCGGGGGTGCCCTCACATTGTGTGCTCGGTGCCTCTGGCGGGACTCATGAACTCAAGGGGATCGGGCGCGGATGCTACCTATGTGTTGGGAGTGCGGGCGGGAGTGAGCAACACGGCTTGCCGCTTAGGGAAGCTTGAGCCCTCCCCCTGCCCCCTCCCATGGGTCTGGACGGGGGGTCCCGAAGGATTAGAGCGTCCAGGATTGCCCAAGATGGTTCCAAGATGGCCCCCGATGCTGCAAGGTGTCTAAGATGGTCCATGCTACTTCGAGATGGCTTCAGGTAGCATCCAGGCTACTTCAAGATGGCTTTA